TATATATATATATATATATATATATATTAGCTGAGCCATCCTGCCACCTGTTGGCGGATTACATATATTTTTGTGAATAAATGTTTTCAGATTTTTTTGGTAGCTACCCAGAAAAAGGATTGCTAGGTCATATGGTAATTCAATTCTTAATTTTTTGAGGAACCTCCATACTGTTTTCCATAGTGGCTGTATCAATTTACATTCCCATCAGCAGTGTAAGAGAGTTCCTTTCTCTCCACAACCTCTCCAACACTTGTTATTACTTGTCTTGGTGATAATAGCCATTATAACAGGTGTGAGGTGGTATCTCATTGTGGTTTTGATTTGCATTTCCCTAATAGCTAGTAAAGTTGAGCATTTTTTTGTACATCTATTGGCCATTTGTATGTCTTCTTGGGGTAAGTGGCTGTTTTAAGTTGTCCATTTTTTAATTGGATTGCTTGTTTTTTTGTTGTTGAGTTGCATGAGTTCTTTATATATGTTGGATATTAGTCCCTTATCAGAGGTGTTGTTTGCAAGTATTTTCTCCCATTCAGTTCGTTGCCTCTTTGTTTTTTGTTTTTAAAGATTTTATTGGAGGATTGGGGGAGGGGAACAGCATTGGGGAATCAGGGAAGGGGAACAGACAAGTTGCTGTCCTTTTGTTCTTCAGTCTAGTTGTGGAGGATGTCGTTTCACTGGCCCATGTATCATTGCACTCTTCCCGGGTGAGGCAGTTGCTTGCAGGCCATTGGACGGCCACTCACGGCAGCTCACGAAAGCTCACGCCCGCTGCTGGCCAGCCCCACTGCAGCCTATGCCGTCGCTGGCGACTCACGGCAGCCCAGCTCCAGGTCGAGCTGTTGTTCACCATCTTAGCTGTAGAGGGCGCAGCATCACTGGCCCCCATGTGGGATCCGAACTGGGGCCCTGCTGCTCAGAGCTGGCGTCCCAAGCCAACTCCTAACCAATGCGCCACTCAGCTGGCCCAGTTGCCTCTTTGTTTTGTTGATCGTTTCTTTTGTTGTGCAGAAGCTTTCTAGTTTGATATAGTCCCCTTCATTTCATTTATTTTTGCTTTTTCTTCCCTTGCCTTTGAGGTCAAATTCATTAATTCTTCTCTGAACCCAAGTTCCTTGAGTTTAGTACCTATGCTTTCTTCTATGCAATTTATTGTTTCAGGTCTTATGTTTAGGTCTTTGATCCATTTTGAGTTATTTTTGGTATATGGTGACAGATAGCAGTCTAGTTTCATTCTTTTGCATGTGGCTTTCCAATTTTCCCAGGACCATTTATTGAAGAGGCTTTCTTTTCTCCATTGTATTAATATGTTTCTGTCTGCTTTGTTAAAAATTATCTGCCCATATATATGTGGGTTTATTTCTAGGTTCTCCGTTATATTCCATTGGCCTCAGTATCTGTTTATCTTCTAATACCATGCTGTTTTGATTATTGTTGCTTTGTAGTATAAATTGACGTCAGGGATTGTGTTATCGCCAACATTTTTTTCTTAGGATTGCTTTGGCTATACAGGGTCTTTTGTGGTTCCATACAAATCTGATTATTTTTTTTGGTCTGTTTCTTTTTCAAAAATGCCATTGGGATTTTGATGGGGGTTGCATTAAATCTGTATATTGCTTTGGGTAGGAAGCTACCTATTAAAAAATTATTTTTTTAGCTGTTTAGGTATAATATTTATATTCCCACATGGTCAGTGATTCTGCTCTTATGAAACTACCATATCTTCATTTTACTTTTTTCTTAAAATCTCTAATTTATTTAACAAACATTCATTTATTACTAAAGTGAGCTAGATCTTATGGAGGATGCAAAAATACATAAGATTTCCACTATTCCAAGGTAGTTTATACGATCTAGTAGGGGAAAATTAGGCAAGATACAAGTACTATTTAAGAAAAAACAAAAAGCCTGGAAGAAATGAGCAGAACCAATAAAGTATGTTGGAAGATGGAGACAAGGTTGAGTTTAACTTCTTTCTGGAATTTATGCAGGAGATAGTGGTTAATGTGGATAGAATAAAGGAAATAGCATGAATAGACAAGCTGCTTTGAGAAATGGCAGATAATGATCTCATTAGAATGGAACATAGAGTGCCTGAAGGAGAAACGTGGGAAATATTGGGTTGTTGGAAAAGTCATGATGTATTTTTTCTGTTTTTCGTTGCAAAAATGCGTCATGAGTTTTCTGACAACCCAATAGATTAGGGTTAGATTATGTAAAGCCTTAATGAAAGCTAAAATGTAGATTTCATTCAGAAGGCTGTTGGGATTTGTTTGGGAATAGATAGGAGTTAGAATGGATGGAATTGTTTATTACCAAAGTTCTGCTATAATATTGATTCTTTTGCAGTATAGAATGGATGGTTTAGAGATCTATGAGTCAGGAGGCTGTTATAAAAGACTGGGATTAGGATGCTAAGGCATTGAATAAGAGCAATGGTAATAGAAATAGAGATGGTGAATTAGTGGGAGAAATAATACTGCTATGAAATAACCAAAATTTGGCATTACAGCACATACAGGAAGTAAAGAAAAAGGGAAAGAGCTAAAAATGATGTCAAATGTTTAAACCTGAGTGATTATGATCCTAGTGGTACTCTTAACAAATGATTGAGAGTGAGGTGGAGCAAGAAGCAGGGTGGTGAGGATGAGGGTGTTTTTTGATGTTGATGGGAAATCCAGGTGGTTATTCCAGCAGGTAATTGGGAAGACAAGACAAGTGTGGATCTTAGGAGATTTAGGAGATGGGGTATGAGTGTAGTAGAATTGATGTGAATGGATAACCTCACAAAGCTTTAAGGCCAGAGTGAGTCTTGGGAAATCCCTATATTAAAGGGTGAGGGGGAAAAGGCAATCCCCAGGAGAGCCAGAATAGCAGTAGGGATATTAGGAAAGTGAAATCCTAAAAGCTAAGTTGAAAGGGAAATAAAAAGAATTATCCGGTGTCAGCTGCAGCAGAAAGACTAATGCACTGAGAATTGAGAAGAGGTCGTTTGATTTTGCAGTTAAGTCATTAGTTTCTTTTGACAAAACCTCTAATAGGAGGCTGTAGTAGTAGCCAGATTGGTAAGGGAATAAAGAAGTGAAAGGAAAAAGCTACATGGTAACTTCAAGGGTAATTTAGAACTGAAGGGGAAAGAATTATTCTCGAAACATTTTTTCTATTTGGGGGGGGAAAAAACTAACTTGGTAAACCATAATAGGTCTTTACTTGAAGTAGGTTAAAAAACAACAACACCACCTTAAGCAAGAATAGTTGAATCTTAATATTACCATCTATTTGTTCATTTGCAAAAATACATTAAGCACTTTGCTTTTAAATATATAACAATCCTGGGAGATAAGCAGTATAGAGAATGGTTTTCCCGTTTTTGTTATAGTACTATTGCTGTTAATAGTAAGAACTGCTTATTGAGTTTTTTCCTGAGTGCCTGAGACTGTGATAAGCACTTTATAGCCTGAAGGAGGTTTAGCCTTAATAGTAGCAAGCACCTATGGTGCTTACTATGTTCCAAGCACTATTCTGAGCATTTTATGTAAATTACCTTCCTTAATTCTCACAGTTGTCCTGTGAAACACGCTATTATCATCATCCTCATTTTACAGATGAGAAAAACTGAGGTCCATGGAGGTCATCACATGGCTAGTAAATCATAGAGCTCTGTCTGGTACCAACCCAGGCAGCCTGGCTCCAGAGGCCATTTTCCTCACCATTAGGCCATAATGCCATTTGCACATAATTGTATTGGAGGTGGTTGAGAATATTGAGCCTGCTCTAATAAAACACTATTGTTGATTATTACCACAGAAAGGACATCTCTCATGAAGAGCATCTGTTTTAGTTTCTTTATTTCACAGAGGAGAAAACTTGGAGCGAAGGCCAGAAACCCAGGACTCTTGTCTTTTGGTGTACCCTATTGCCTGTGAATTGTAGGTCTAGGGGCTTTTCTGCTGTCATTTATTTCTTCCTCAGAGAGTGTTCTTGTAGCCAAGTCAGGTGATTTCAAATTGTGTTTAAATTTCAAGTCCATTAACGAATATAACAGGCCTTTGTGAAATATCTTAATTTGAGTCAAAGCTACTCAAAATTGGGGCATGATAGAATTTTTCATAAATTTTATTTTAGTAACGGGGGGATTGGGTAGTTCTTTTTAATTTTTATTTAATGAATTTTCAATGCTACCCTTAATATGTATATCTTTTAAACCACAGAAAATTTTCATTTGCTTTTATTTGCAGGGAAAATATCAAGGAAAAGGAGAAGGCAGAAGGTACAGCTGAAGAAACTGAGGAAAGAGAGCAGGCCATCCCCCGAGGGCGAAAGACCGCCAATAGCCAGGGTCGCAGAAAAGGTCGGATCACCAGGTCCATGACAAGTGAAGCCGCGGCGGCCAGTGCTGCAGCTGCAGCGGCCACTGAGGAGCCCCCCCCACCTCTGCCACCGCCGCCAGAACCCAGTGAGTGCACAGATTGGAGTGAACAGGCCACAGTTTTGTTTGGGGTTCTGTTTCAGTGCTAGGGTAAGGCAGGAGGGACCTCTGATATTGACAGCTTAGAAATAATCTGAAAGTCTGGCCTTTACATTTTTTAAACTTTAATATGAAACTTTTTTGAAAAAGAATAGCAGCCCCAGCCTTGCTACCCTAATACAGCTGGGGGTTTTTTTGTTTGTTTGTTTGTTTTTACTTACTCATCATCCTAATGTACATGCTACTTTGTTTTCTGATGTTTTAACTTGGCGTATATCATGAATATTTTCTAGTTTCTAAGTGATCTCCGTTTTTACTTTTTGATGGCTGTGAAATGTTGACTTTGTGTTGTTCCCTGAGGCACAATTTTCTGAAATATTTCCTATGCTGAATGATTAGCCTATCTCCTCCACACCCTTTAAACTAATACAGATAGCACTGTAATTAAAAAAAAATCTTCATTCACATAGCATTTTCTTTCTGTTGAAGTATGTGTATGGGAATAAATTCTTAGACAAGGGAATATTGAGTCTAAGAGTCCAAGCATTTTTCTCTCTTAGCATTGTCTCAGTTTATAAAGGGATTATGTTAATGATGAGTATCACCATTAGTGGTTTAGTGGTACCAATTTTACTCTAACGTTGAGCATGAAAGAAAACAAGTTCTGGGAATGGCAAGAATAATGTGAGGGAAATAACTAGACAGGCAGATGGGGGCAGATCACGATGGGCCTTATTTGAATTATACCCTGCTTTGCTTACAAAACGGGGAGCTCACAAAAGTTTTGAAATAGGGCAGTGCTTTGTTTAGATTGGTGTTTAGAAAAGGTAACTCTGGTGACAGTTGTGGAGGTCAGGTTAGAAAGAATAAAGGGTGGAGGAAGAGGGACCAGCTAGAAGGGCATTACTACAGTGGGTGAGGCAAGGAATGGATGGATTCAGGAGATTAGAACTGGCACACATCATTGGATGTGACTGGTAAATGGCAGGAAGATTAAAAAATTAGTTGAAGGATTAAAAAATTAGTCTGAGGATCCTGTTAATTTGAGTGACTGGGCAGATGATAGTACTATTAATAGAGGAGGGGAATATAGCAGGAGCTCATTTCAGGCCTGATAATCTCAATTTTCTTTCCAAAGTAAAAAAAGTGTTCATGATCCACTGAGGATGAGCATAAGAGCCTCCAAGTGTTGGAGGAGATGGAGGTTCAGATAATAGGAGAGAACTGTGCCTGGACCTGAAGGTGGAGTGCTATTTCTTCCTCTGATACTTCAGGAGAGATAGGATGATCTGTAATTAGTGAGAAGGCACTGAGTGAGGCGGGACTTCTGATAAAATAAACTAACAGTGTTCAAACATGTAGATATGGGTGGAACTTTAAAGAACATTGAGAAAGATCATAACACTGAGAGATGCTGAATTTTCCTCTCTAGTTTGATGGGGGAAGAGGCTGATACCATCCTATTTCTATAGTTTCTTTTACCAAATGCTTTAAAAAGGTTAATATATAACCTGTCAGATAAATAGGTTACAGATTACATGGTTGGTGCCATATAATCTATGAATGAAGGATTTAACTTAATATTCCTCTGCCTTATTGAGTTCTCTCTGCTTATTTTAGTTTCTACAGAGCCTGTAGAAACCTCTCGATGGACAGAAGAAGAAATGGAAGTTGCTAAAAAAGGTAAGTGATAGTAGTTCAGGTTCTTTTTGTTTTTAGGGTTATTACTCATGAACGAGCTGCAGCTAAATTTTTTTTTTAATTAAAAAGAACATTCTTCCACAATAAGTAGAATTTAGAAGTAAACTTAAGAGTTTTTTTGTTTTTTTTTTTACGGTGTGGTACCTTAGAAGGTACCCCAAGTGTGCCTTGTTTAAGAGGCCCACTTTTGAGGGATTAAGATTTTCTCTACAGTTCGTTTTGAATGTCGTTTTATTAGAGAGCAAGTAGGTTATTTTCACTTTTTTAGAATAGTTGTGATTAAATGCTATTAAACTTGTTTTGGTATTTTGGTATAAAAAGCCTATATTTCTATTATTTACAAGTTGCATTTAAGAGAATGGTAAATACTTTCTCAGTTTTCATTTGGTAAGGCATTTGATTGTAAACTACTAGGAAATTGCAGTGCAATTCAGAGGGGAGAGCATGAACTTTGTAGCCAAACAGACAAGAGTTTGAATCCTGTCTATGCCACTTTCATAGCTGTGTGGCCTGGATCTTACTTGGGAACATGACGGATCTCGTATTTTTCTGTTATTGCTTATTAATGTAGTATAAAATTGGACTAAAACTTCTAGTAGGATAAATAATTGGTTTATAAATAAAGAATAGTTTACTTTTTAAATAAAATAAGTTTGAGAAAGATTAGCCAACTCTTTTGGGGGTTAAGTGTTTATCTTGTAGTTCTAGAAAGAAATTATAAATAGCTTGACCTATTAGTGACATATTTCAGATTTACTTTCTGTTTAACAGTTAATGAATGATACATTTAAGATTCATATAAACCAACTTTATAAAAAATACAGCAGCCTAAAGTGTTCTGTCTTTTATTTGAAGTTTGCCATGATTAGAAAATTTGTGATTTCTCATGATTATATGTATAAGTTTTTAAAAGATTCGCATTTATTCTCTTTTGATCATTTCCTGCTACATATATGAGGTGTGATCAAATAATATGGTGAATGTTTAAATTAAAAAAATTTATTACAGTAAAAGTCACATTGCCATTAATCCCCCTCAGAATACTCTCCATCTCTTTAAACACACTTATCCCGTCATTCTTGCCTCTTTCTGAAACAGTTGTGGAAGTTCTCTTTCATGAGTGTCTTTAATTGCACTGTCGTGGCTGCCTCGAAGTCCTGAATCATTTTGACTTTGGGGAAGAGCCAGAAGTTGCACGGTGCTAGATCTGGTGAATAAGGTGGATGAGGACACACCGTAATGTTTTTATTTGACAGAAATTGCCGTATACCAGAAGCCATGTGTGACATGAGCATTGTCATGATGGAGGATGATTTATGGCACACTTTAAAACACACCTTCTTTCACCCGTAGCTCACACTTGACTGACTGCCCTAAACAATTTGAAACTTGTCACACACTGTTACTAAGGTTCGGTGTGCCTCTTCCTGTATTGAAGATCCCTCCCTGCCTTTCCATTGGATGGCACTTGGCAGCAGCATTCATTGAAGCTTTTTGATCACAACGGAAAGGCCCTGTGTCACACATCGCTTCTGGTATGGCAGCTTCTGTCAAATAAAAACATTACGGTGTGTCCTCATCCACCTTATTCACTGGATCTGTCACAGTGCGACTTCGGCCTTCTCCCCAGAGTCAAAATGACATGAAAGGTAAATGTTTTGAATGGATTCAGGACGTCAAGGCAGCCACGACAGCACAACTAAAGGCACTCACAAAAGAGGACTTCCAGAACTGGTTCAGAAAGTGGCCAGAACAATGGGATAAGTGTGTTTGATGCGAGAGGCAGTATTTTGAGGGGGATTAATGGCAACGTGTCTTTTACTGTAAATTAAAAAAAAAAAAATTAAACATTCACTATATTTTTTGATCATACCTCATATATATGCATTTATATGCCCATATTCCTTGCATACATGTATGTGTGGTCATATATGTATTATTTGATTTAAAAAGTATCAGATGGTATAGGTTTCTGTCATGCATTGTATTACAACAGGTGTTTTTAAACTGGTTAATTTTTTTGAGGTCATTCCTTGATTGTGAATGGACTGAAGACATGCTGAGTATTATGTATATTTTTACTTTGTGTTAATCATTTATATTTGATTTATATTGTTATACTGTTTCCAAAGATTTAGGAGTACTTATTCACTGAGGTAACAAGTGTTTGAGCTATTACTATGTGTCCAGTGTTGTCCTAGCTCTCTAGGAGATACATAGAGATAAGGTTGTGAGCCCTTTCCTTAATGAGCATGTTTTAAATTTGAGTGGAAAAATAGAGCTGTCAAAGAGTTTTGTGTCAATACATATTTCAGTAAATATTGAAGTATATCAATAAATAATTGGAAACACATTTTTAGTGTTGATGCTTGTGAATATAGTGATTAAGTTGATTTTATTCTCTTGTTTTCTTTGTCAGGTTACTGTTCAATTAACATTTGGTCTGTTTTTTAAAATATAGGTCTAGTAGAACATGGTCGTAACTGGGCAGCAATTGCCAAAATGGTGGGAACTAAAAGTGAAGCTCAATGTAAAAATTTCTATTTTAACTATAAAAGGCGACATAATCTTGACAACCTTTTGCAGCAGCATAAACAGAAAGTGAGTATATCAGGAGTGGTGAATCTTTTGCTTATTGTTTCTTACTTACAGTTTGTTTTTTGAGCTTGAAAGAATAGGTTTTTGAAACTTTATGTCTTGTATTTTTATTTATTACATTTACCTGTAAAAGATATGCTAGTTTCTTGTCACAAGTTGACTGTTTATTGCCCAAGGAGTAAAATTTCTGTTAATAGTAGTGGAAATTCAGTACTTTGGATTACTATACACTGGATTTGAAAAAGAGAAGCATTTTGGAATTTGAATTGAAAACTATTTGGAGTGCTCTTCACCATGTTGAATGTGATGATTTGGCATATTACAAAACATTTTCTCAGAAAGATTCCATGGGATAAATATTAAGGCCAGGAAATACAAGATTACTGAAAATTTCTGATAAGGAAGTTTCAGTGTTCTCAAAGTGCACAGAGCTCTTTGAGGGTTCCATGAAGTCAAAACTATTTTCATAAATTCTTAAGATGTTATTTTTTCCACTCTATTGACATTTGCAGTGATGTTGTCAAAGCAGTTCTGAGTGAGAATTGCTGGTGCCTCAGCATGAGTCATGGCAGGACACTGCTGTGCTAAGTACTCGATGTAGTATTTAGCTCCAAGCGCTTGCAATTAAAAAAAAAGCCAGTCTCACTTAAGAATGTCCTTAATAAAGCAATAAAAATTAGCTTTACTAAATCTCGACCCTTGAGTACATGTCTGTGATGAAATAAAGTGGGTGTAAAGCCCCTTCTGCTCCCTACCAAAGTATGATGGCTCTTTCAAGGAAAAGCACTTTTGAAATTGAGTTCCAAGGTGAACTTACCTCTTTTTTTTTGTTCATGAAATACTATTTTTATGTGAAAACAATGCCAGACAAACTGGTTTTTCAGACTTGGATATTTGGAAGACATTCTTTCAAAGAAAACAACCAGTACTATTTGTTGCCACTTTTAAATTTCTAGCTTTCAAGCAATAATTAGAATTTTGGAAAATGTGTATCCCTAACCGTGAATGAACTTAACTTCTTTCCAGTACTCAAAGACTTTTCTGATGATATCAGTGGTAGTAATAACTAATGTGATATTTGTAATTTAAAAAAATCTGTGTAACTCAGTAGTTTCCAAATGAGACTAATTCATGATGTCACAGTAGATGTCATGTATGACTAAAAGATTTATAAAATGTTTTTTAGTATACCCAAATGCAAGATATATGAATGAATTTTATTGATATGGATTCAGATTTCACATTGCAGCTAACCTTTAAGAAACGACTACTTTCTGTGTTTTCATACAGTATCAAAGAATAAAATTCACAGTCATCTGAAATGACTATTATAATATGCTCTTGTTTTTTAACTACGTATCTCTGTGAGGCTAGATTTTTTTTTTTAATGTACTTCAACCAAAACAGTATTCTCTCCACAGATTAGATTACATGCAGAATCACATTTGAGAATTGTGTTTTCTATTAAGGCAGATATTAAAGAGATTTCCAAACACATAAAACAATGCTATTTTTTCACTGTTATTTTTTTGTTTTAGAAAATAATTATGTTTTTATTAAAAAATATGTTCTTTATGTTGACATATAAGGGGTTTATTATTTTTAAATGAATAAATAGTTTAAATGTTTCTCATTTTTAATTAATTTTTTTTTTTTAAGATTTTATTGGAGGATTGTTGAAGGGAAACAGTGTTGGGGAATTGGAGAAGGGGAATAGCCAAGTTGTTGCCCTTCAATCAGTCTTAGTTGTGGAGGGCACAGCTAGCTCAGCTCCAAGTCCAGTCTCCTCTGGCCGCCCATCTGCCACTCAGGGCAGCTCAGCTTAAGGTGCTGTGTTCAATTTTAGTTGCGGGTAGGCATAGCCCACGATCCCATGCGGGAGTCCAACCAGAAACCTTGTTGTTAGGAGCACATGCTCTCTCCAGCTGAGCCATCCTGCCACCTGTTGGCAGCTCAGCGGCAGTTCAGCTCCGGCACAGCTCACTGGCCCATGTGGGAATCAAACCGGCGACCCTGTTGCTCAGAGTTTGCGCTCTTAATCATCTGAGCCACGTGGCCACCTTTAATTTCTAATATAGTAAATATCTATCTGTATATCTTATGAACAAAAACTCTTTAGGTTTAGGGTTTTCAATACTTTTTAAGAGTGCTCTGTCTTTAGATCAAAAAATTTGAGAATCATTAAGAATGATAGACTAGGGCCAGCCAAGTGGCATGTTGGTTAAGAGCTGGCTTAGGATGCCAGCTCTGAGCAGGAAGGCTCCGGTTCGGGCCCCACATGAGGGCCAGTGACACTGCCCTCTACAGCTACGATGGTGAACAACAGCTCGACCTGGAGCTGGGCTGCCGTGAGTCTCCAGTGATGGCGTAGGCTACAGCCCCTGCTGAAGTGGGCTGCCATAAGCCACCCTGTGTGGCTGGCAGCCACCGTGAGCGGCCAGCAGCCAGTATGAACTGCCAAGAGCCTCAGTGAGCGGCTGTCCAGAGGCCAGCGACCGATCTGCCTCACCCAGGAAGAGTGCAATGGTAATACCAACATGGGCTGTGAAACAACGTCCTCCACAACTAGACTGAAGAACAAACGGACAACAAATTGTCTGTTCCTCTTCCCCTGATTCCTCAGCGCTCTTCCCCTCCCCCAATTCCCCAATAAAATCTTTAAAAAAAGAAAAAAGAATAATAGACTAGGTAATAAAAGGGCAGATATTTAAACTGATTAAGATTTGAACTTAGAATATGTAGTATAACATTGACTGATTTAAAAAGTTATACACAAAAGAGCATTGAGGTTAAAAATAAGAATGCAAGAGTTAAAAATGTGGTGTAGCAACTAAAACCTAAAGGAAAGAAAACACCAACAAAAAGCCTACTGATGCCGGCCAAGTGGCTCAGTTGGTTGAGAGCTCACTCAGGAGTGCGAGCTCTGACCAACAGGGTCGCCGGTTGATTCCCGGCCACTGAGCTGCCAACAGGTGGCAGGGTGGCTCAGCTGAAAAAAAAAAAAAAAAGCCTACTGACAAGAGAGACTTGACTTCACATACTATCTGAAATGTTTTGTGAGAAAAGTAAAGAATAAATCAGACATATTTTAAAAAGATAAACATTGTGTTAGGGCTCTCTAGAGAAACAGAACCAACGAGGGTGAGGTTGAGAAATTGCCTCATGTGATTTTACAGGTGTGGCAAATCCATAATCCAGTGGGTTAGGCTGACAGGCTGGAGACTCAAGGAAGAGTTGCAGTTGGAGTACAAAGGCAGTCAGCTGGCAGATTTTTTTCTTGCTGGTTGTGTGTGTGTGTGTGTGTGGCGTGCGCGTGCACGCTCACACACATTGGAGGTTAGGAGACAGGAAGCTATCAATCTTAGTTCTGTTAAGGCCTTCAGTTGTTTGGATGAGGCTCACCTCATCCACATTATGGAGGGTAATCTGCTTTACTCAGAATCCTATTGATTTAATTGTTCATCTCATCGAAAAAAATAGCTGTACAAAAAGGATAGTGTTTGACCAAAGATCTGGGTACTGTGGCCCAGCCAAGTTGACACGTAAAATTAACCATCATGATGTCTTTAAAACTTCATGTTCTGATCATTTTAATTACAACTGAAATAATAGGGACAGCTGGCTTCAATTGTTGGTCTACAGTGTTTTATCTTTTTAAAAAAGAGCTCAGGAAAACATGACAAATGTCTGATATCTGTTAAAACTTAGTGGAAGATATATAGGTGTTATGTTTTTGTGTATTTGAATTATTACATTAAAATTAACTAATACTATATACAGTGAAAAAATGGAGACATAACAGATTATTGCATGTGAAGATTTCACATTCAACACGTTTATTTTTATTAGAAAATAAATGCATATGTTAAAAATTATTTGGAGGGGGAGAAGACCAGGAGTTTTGTTTTTTTTTAAGATTCTTATTGGGGAATTGGAGATGGGGGAACAGACAAGTTGCTGGCCTTTTGTTCTTCAGTCTAGTTGTGGAGGATTTTGCTCACTGGCCCAAGTTGGCACCATCATTGTGCTCTTCACAGGCGAGGCAAATCAGTTGCCGGCTTCTGGACGGCTGCTCATGGCGGCTGTTGGCCGCTCACGCTGGCTGCTGGCTACCCACGGTAGCCCATGGCAACCCATTGCAGCAGGGGCTGCAGTCTACGCTGTCTCTGGCGACTTGCAGCAGCCCAGCTTCAGGTTGAGCTGTTGTTCAGCATCTTAGCTGTAGAGGGCAGTGTCACTGGCCCTCATATGTAGGATCCGTACCGGGGCCCCCTGGCATCCCAAGCTAGTTCTTAACCAATGCGCCACTCAGCCAGCCCAGGAGTTTTGTGATTTTTTTTTTGGGGGGGGGGGGCTATTTTACAAGTATAAGTGGCGAGTAATTTCAAAAATGTTTCAGATTTAACTTTCGATCACTTTAATGAAAGTGAGTCGTCTACACAAAAGACCAGTTGGTGGTTACCTAGAGATAACTGCACTTTCAGACACAGTCTTCTTGTTTAGTATTTGTGTATGTATCAGTGTTCTATGTTATTTCAGATATGAAAAGGTTTATTTCTCTCCTTTTAGTTATTTAAATCTTAAATAATTTATTTTAATATTTTTTGCTTCTCTAGACTTCACGAAAACCTCGTGAAGAGCGAGATGTGTCTCAGTGTGAAAGTGTAGCTTCCACTGTTTCTGCTCAGGAGGATGAAGATATTGAAGCCTCCAATGAGGAAGAAAATCCAGAAGACAGTGAAGGTATCTCAAAATCTTAACTGTAGTTGTGACTTCTGCGAGCCCAAATATGTAATTTTTAGCTTAGTCATTTCACTATTTAGGAATTGCTTCATTAAGGAAATAGTATATCAGTGTTTTCATGGCATACGGACTTGAAACTTGAACATAATGTATTTATTAATCCAGCCAACAAATATTTATGTAGTACCTGAAATGGTCCAAGTGCTACAACCAGAACATCTGGAGAGCAGTCCCATTCACTTACGTGCCAACATTAATAAAATGTCTGCCACATTTATTTATTCAGTTGGTATCATCAGATACTTTTCCCTCTTTATTTTATTGCATTGGGTTTATTTCATTTGTTTACATATAAAAAGAAATAATGACCCTAAAATCCCAGGTAGAAAAAAATGTCAACCCAAGAAATTTAGGAAAATAAATAAAATCCTTTTTGTCACTTGAAAAATTAATGACAACTTCCTGAGAATGTAAATATTTTGTTTTGCTAGTTAAAGAAAAGAAGTAACATTTCTTTCAGTTTACATTGCTATTAAAGTTTCTGTGGATTTCTTTTGTAAATTGATTGCTTCTGAAATGAGGATTTTCACAACAATTTTAGTAGTTCTTTATATGTCTTAAACATGTTCTTTTTTTCTTGTATTTGCAAATATTTTCTCCATCTTATTTCCCTCCCCCTTTTTTGTTTTACCTTTGAATTACCAGAGTTTAAACTTTGTATGTAATTAGAGCAGTTTATATTTTCCTTTGTGGGCTCTGATGTTGTTAAGCTCAGAAGTTCTACACCTTCCCGGAGTTTTAGGAATATTAGATTTTTTTTTCTACAAGTTGTTCTTGTTGGCTTTTAAACTGAAAATTTATCTTGAAATGGGTTTCAGCTTTGAATAATAAGTTAACTTTTTTTCTGTGCGGTTTTGTGAAAAGTGAGGCCAGTGTTACAAGAGTAAAGAGAAGATTGGAGCAAATTCACTCTGGGGTAGTATAAGAGTGCTGCAAACAATTGATGTTCATGGTACTTCTAAAGAGGTCTTCAGAGTTTGTTAATTGTAATAGGTTTGTAGGCATTAGCTAGTATTCCCTGGGTTACAAATGCACATGAAGCCTGTATTAGTCGGCTTGGACTGCCATGACAGAATATCACAGACTGGGTGCCTTAAACAACAGAAATTTATTTTCTCAGTTCTGAAGGCTGGAAGTCCAAGATCAAAGTGCCGTCAGGGTTGGTTTCCAGTGAACCTGTCTTCCTGGCTTGCAGATGGCTGCCTTCTCAATTTGTCCTCACATGACTTTCTTTCTGTGCACATGTACTCCTGATGTCTTTTACTCATAAAGACACCAGTTCTATTGGATTAGGACTGCACCCTTTCTCCCTCATTTAACCTAAATTACCTCCTTAAAGGCACTATCTTAAAATATTATCTCATTGAGGGGTTAGGGCTTTAACATACACATTGGGAGTGGGTGGGGGAGCACATTCAGTTTATAACAAAGCCCAAGCCTAGTTGTCATAAATAAGTTTATTATTTCAGAACAGAAAAGCTTATTCATGCATGGGCTAACAGATTCTCAAAAACTGTGTGCCAGAACTCACTTTTATCCTTCTGATTTCTTCCTGTGACTTTGTCTTAATGTGAATCTTTTTTAAAATTGTCAAATAAGGTTATTAAGGCTTTAAATAAAGTTATTAAGGTAATTACGGTTAAATGAGATATTAAAATAATATTTGTCTGATCAAGTTTAGGGTGGCATGATCACATTATGCCCATTCATACATGTGGTTGTGTTGTGACATCCAGAATATTTTCCTATTAATTGGAAATGAACTTGCCAGTAGAATTGTGGGATCTCCATTTCCTTTTGACTTAACTTCATTTGGAAAGTATCAAAGAAAAGAAAGTATACAATGCAGTTTACACGACCTATGGTTTATTTCTTATTGCCAAACTTAAGGAGACACTAAAGATTCACTGTTAATTATGTGGCAAGGTTCTTGTCTGTGGAGCATGAAGGCAGCTGCTGAAGGGAAGAGTCCCTGTGTCTGTTTTCCTAAAACACACATTGACTGAATATCTTTCACAATTAGAAGACCTAAGTCAGAAAGACTGAATGAAACTTTACCAAGGTTTGTATTTGCTCTTGTTCTCTTGTTTTAAATCATTCTTTAAAGTTTTTTGAGGGAAAAGAAATAAAAGACACTGATATTTGGCTGGTGCTTGGTGAAGCATTATGCCTTATTCCAACTCTTCTGTGGCTTGGAGGAAGAAAGTAATTGAAAGTGTTTATGTCAGATGATATCATCTGCTGCACAATCACTAACATGTCTTCCAGTATTTGGAAGCTAAATGACTTATTAATTTGCCCTTGGATTTGAGGCTTCCCATCACTATATGAATAGAAATGAAGATGAAGTCAGGCTTTTTGTTAGCCTTTCAACATTTTGGTAGCATCTTTCACTAACGGTAATTGCTGCTATATATTAAGACCTTACTGTGTGTGAGGCACTGTTCTGAGTTTTTGTTTGCCTTTTGTTTTGATTTTTGAGACTTGACCTCATCTGAACTCTAGGCTCTAACTGCCTACTTACTATGTTCATTTGGCTACCTAGGAGCCATTGAAAACAACATCGGAAGCAAACTTTTATTTCCCTAACCCCTTTAATCTTCTCCCAGATCGATAAATGATACTTTGGTAATTCTCTCTCACACATTCCACATGTGGTCCATCAGCAAATGTTGTCAACTTTTCTTTAGATGCACTGTTTAGAATCTAATCACATTTCCCTACCTCCATTGTGGCTCCCCTGTTTCTGAATCACTGTTGTCTCCACTGCAGCAGCCCCTTGATTGGTCTGCTTGCTGCTATTTGTTCCATTATGTTTTTTCCCCACTATGCAATAGCCAGAGTAAACCTTACAAAATCTGAGTAAGATCATGTTTCTCTTCTACTTCAGATCTTGTGATACTTTCACATGTCATTCAGAATAAAAGCCAAAGTGACTCTGTGACTCATGAGGCCCTACATGAAACTGCCACTCAAATATCTGTGACCTTTTTGCCAACCACTTTTCTGCTTGCTCACTCTAGTCTTTTTTTATGTTTATTAATTGAGATGTAATTGACATATACTAGTATATTAGCTTTAGATGTACAACATAATGTGATATTTGTGTATAATATTGCAAATCATCACATAATCATCACAATAAGTGTAGTTAATATCCATCACCCCACAAAGTTGCAAGTTTTTTTTTCTTATGATGAGAATTTCTAAGATCTACTTTCAGCAACTTTCAGATACACAATACAGTATTATTAACTATAGTTACTATGCTGTATATTATATCTCTAGAACTTATTTTATAACTGGATGTTTTGTATCTGTTGACCACCTTCACCCATTTCACCCGCCCCCACCTTCTGCCTCTGCCAACCACCAATCTGTTCTCTATGTTCATTTTTGTTTGGTTTGGTTGGTTTTATTTTTCAGATACCACATATAAGTGAAATCATACAGTGTGTGTCCTCTGTCTGACTTATTTAACTTAGCATAATGCCCTCAAGATCCATCATGTCACAAATGGCAAGATTTCCTTCTTTTTTATGGTTGAATAATACAAAGGGTGCCCCAAAAAATGTACATACATTTTAAGAAAGGAAAATACTGTATTAGAATTGTAATATTCAATATATACAGATAACAAGTGATGAATACAAGTTACATTTGACTTCTGCAATTACAAGAGGTGTTCAAAGTGGTTACCATCAGCGTCCAGATGCTTCTGATTATGGCAAACTACTGCTTGAGCAACACTGACCAAAGCGTCTACTTATATCGCTGGGCATGCCATTTTAATTTCTTCACACAGTACCATGCGTCTCAAACTTATCATTAATGTGTGCAGTTGTTATGCATGTTGGAGGTTCTGTTGCATACTCAGGCCTCCATTGTTGTTGTACATCCACAACGTTCATGAATTTCAAATACCACTTCAGAATGGTCTTGCTCTCCTCGAACGACAAGCCGAGCTTCTGCTATTTTCTTTGTCCTCCCTGTCACATGGTGACGCTAACATTCATTTGATTAATGCCATCTTTTGAGCAAACTTCATACTATACATTGCAACTGTAATTCAATTCAACTTTGAAAAGTAATACATAGATAACATCTGTCAAAATGTGTATACATTTTTTTTTGGAACCCCCGGTATTCCTGTGTGTGTACCACATTTTATTTATCCATTCATCTGTTGATGGACATTTAGGTTGTTTCCATGTCTTGGCTCTTGTAAATAATGCTGCAGTGAATATGGGAGTGCATATATCTTTTCGAGTTATGTTTTTTTGTTTACTTTAGATAAATACCCAGAAGTAGAGTTGCTGGGTCATACGGTAGTTCTATTTTTAATTTTTTTGAGGAACCTCCATGCTATTTTCCATAGTGGCTGCACCAATTTATATTCCCACCAACAATGAACAAGAGTTCCCTTTTCTCCACATCCTCACCGATACTTATTTCTTGTCTTTTTGATTACAGCCATTCTAACAGATGTGAGGTGATTGTTCACTCCATTCTAACCACACTATTCTTTTTGCTGTTCCCTAGCAAAGCAACCCCCACTTCAGGGGCTTTTGCATGTGCTAATCTGTCTACCTGGAACGCTCATCCCCAAAATGTACCTATTGGCTCATTCTCTCATTTTCTTCAGGCCTGTGTTGAAACGTTACCTTACCTTTATAATACCTCCTTACCCCACTGGTCTCCCAGTTTTGTTATTCACTGCACTTATTACCACCTTATATGTCTTGTATTTATTGTTTATTGTTTGTTTCACACTAGAATGTCAGCTCCATTAGAGTGTAGTTTGATTTTTTTCACTGCTCTGTCACCAGTACCTCAGACAGCTAAATTATCCCCATTTATCCTAAATTGTCTTCTAAAAGTTTAAAAAATCTCTTCATTTGGAATTATTTTTCTGTATAGTGGAAGATAGGATTCACATTTTTCTTCCAGACAAGTAGCCAGTTTTGAGAGCTCTCGTTTATTAAATAAATCATTCTTTACCCAATAATTTAAAATATCACTTTTGATATATATTAATTTTCCATATATTTTAGGATCTATTCTTAGACATTGTCTTCTGTACCATTGATTTATTTTGTCTATCACTGTGTCAGTTCCAAACATTTTGTAATACATTGGCTTTATATTAAATTTGACTAGCTGGAGAGGCAAGTCTCTCTCAAGTATAGTACTTTTCATAATTTTCTTGGATTTTCTGAGGGACTTACTCTTTCATATAAACTAAAAGTTGGTTTATCTAGTTTAAGAAAGTTTTCTTTCATACCATTGGGATTCTCATTGGAGGTATGTAGTTTTATATGTATTAATTTTACATATAATTTATATACATTAATTTTAGGGAGATTTAAATTTTAATGTTATCTTGTAGTCTGTTTTAAGAAGATAATCTAAAAACTTAATGGTGCAGTGAACACCTCTGTATCCTATTTATAACAGTGGCAAATTGGGTCCAATAAAGGAGGAAAGGAGAAGTAAATTTAAAACATATTCACAACCATTCATTCACTTTATACTTCATCAAATATTTGAGTCTACTGTGTGCCAGGCACAGTGCTTGTCACTAGGACTTAAATGATAAGCAGAATATATGATGCCTGCCTTTGTGGTGTTTATAGCCAGGAATCAAATACTTGTGAATAAATGTAAAATTTTAACTATAACCAGTACATGTGTTATAAGAGCTGCAGTAGTACAGTTTAACTTTGTTAAGGAAATGATAGGAGGCTTTATTTATTTATTTATTTTAAAGATTTTGTTGGGGATTTGGGGAAGGGGAACAGCCAAGTTGTTGTCCTTCAGTCTTAGTTGTGGAGGGCGCAGCTAGCTCAGCCCCAAGTCTAGTCGCCATCTAGCCACCCGTCAGCAGTGCAGGGCAGCTCAGCTCAAGGTGCTGTATTCAATCTTATTTGAGGCCCACCATCCCATGTGGGAGTTGAACCGGCAACCTTGTCGTTAGGAGCATGTGCGCTGTCTGAGTGGCAGCTCAGCGGCACCTCATCTCAGGTGCAGCTCACTGGCCCACATGGGAATCCAACTGGCGACCCTGTTGCTCAGAGCTCGTGGTCTTAACCAACTGAGACACTCGGCCGGCCCCAATACAAGGCTTTTCTTAAAGCATGTGATATTTGATCTAATATCCAAAGGAAAAGTAAGTGAAAGAGCCTTTTAAATAAGAGTAAATGGTATGTATGAAGTCTGTAGTAGAAGACATGGGGCATTCACTGAAACTGAAAGAAGGCCAGTGATAGTGGAATACAGAGAGAATACAGGGTACAGGATAAAGCTGGAAGGGCTGGCAGGGGCCCACCAGCTGGGCCTTGTAACAAGGCCATACTCAGAAATTTGGAACTTTATCCTGAGAGTAATGAGGTTTCAGTTGAAACCTATGTAATTTTACTAACCATTGTCATCCCAATAAATTTTAATTAAAAAAAAAGTAATGAGGTTTCACGGACATGTTATAAGAGGGAGGGAAGCAGGGGAGAGGGAGAGAGGGAGTGAATTTTGGTAAGATTTGGCTTTTAAAATGTTCACTCAGGCATTGTTATAGAGAATGGTGTGAGGTAGATGAGAAGAAAATGCATTTTTGGACCACAGTGGCAGTTGTGAAGTTGAACAGAAATGGATAGATTCAAGGAATATTTTTAGAGAGAAAAATCTGTGAGACTTGTCTAGGCAGGATATGGGGATAACTGGGAAGAGAGTTTTCTGTTTTTTGTTTATGAAATACACATTTTTTAGAATTAGTTTCAGCTGTACAACACAGTGCAATAGTTATACTTTTTACCCCTCGAAGTGACAACCCCC